TATATTTAATAAACCTTGTAAATGAAAAATATTATTTATCTTTTAATAAAATACTTAAAATATATAAGTAAATTCATAAAAAATAATATTACCAAAAATCTTACTAATTAGCAGATCATAATGTTAATAGTTAAAGTAACTTAAAATAAAGAAATCATTTATTAATACTTTTACAGAACATATTAATGATTAAGGTTACTTATTTAACTTATTTTGAATTTAGCAAAATGGTTAAATTATAGTTTTGCTAATTTTTTATTAAGATTTTAATATAGCTTTGCATTTTTATAAACTTTAATATAGTTTTATCTTTTTCAGAATTTTGCAGATTTTTTAATAAGGTTTTAATATAATTTTGCTAAATTTTATTTTTTTTATTTAGACAACTTGTAAAATCTCTAAGTTTTGTTTAACAACCTTACTGATAATATTATAACAAATTAGAATTCTCATATAGTCAAGTTATGTAAAAATTTACTTTAATTCTTAATCATAAAATTATCATTCATTTTTAATCATTCAAATTCTATAATATATAATATATATTAAAAATCAATAAAAAGGATATTAAAAGATTCTTTCTTTTATAAGTCTGATAAATTATTCTTTAAATAAGTTTTTTTGTAAAAAATATATAAATTTAAATCTAAATAGCTATTAAACATCATTCATAAAATATAATTATTATATTTACATCTAATTTGAAAGTATAAAGAAACAAAAAGATGGCTAAATAAATAATCATATTCTAGTATTACCTGTTTAATAATTAATATCACAATAAATATTCTTATTTTTTAATATTAATAATATAAAAAAGATATATCATATTATTATAAATGTAAAAAAACTATACTAGTCTATTGTTGAAATCATTATTTTTAATATGTTGTATGAAGTTTAAACTGTTTTATTATCAGATTAAACAGCTAAAAAGTTAAAAAATATTGAAAAAATAACTGTTACAAGATTCAAAATAGAATATAAATAACTAAAATCAATAATTTTAGATTTAGTTATAAATAGTTTTCATTAATAATATATAAAATATAATTAGTAATAAATAAAGAATCTGTTTTTTAAAAGGTTAGACTTTGATATATTAAAGTAGCAATATAATTTCATATATTTTAAAAAATTTAACATTATATTTCAATATTATCAATATTTTACCATATGTATTTAAACTTTCCATTTAATATTCTATTTAATTTATAAAAATGTTATAAAATTAAAATTTATAAAAATCCAGTATTTAAGATAACTAAAAATAAAACTTTTTATAGTTAAGATACTAAATTTTTATCTTAATCTCTTTAAGTAAGAATTTTACTTTATTATTTTGATTCTTTGAAATAATACAGAATCTAAAGAAAAAAAAAATTTTGAATTGAAATTCTTATCCTATCTTATTAAAAAATATTTCTAAATAAACATCTAAAAATACAAAATATCTTTACAAAAAAATAATATATTTTGTAGTACTCTTTATTTAATATCTTTGACAAAAAAAAGCTGATTTAAACTAAAGTATTTGAAAGAAAATCTCAAGGTACATGCTAAAATATAATGTTTTTTAGATCAAAGTTTATTTAGTATAGAGTTAAATAAAAAGTGTTTTTTTAGTATAGAATAAAAATAAAACTTGAAAAATGTATAAAGTTAGATCATCATACATTACACAAAATTAATAAACTATTAAAATCATCTGATAAAAATAAATTCCTGTAATAAGATATTATCTTATCTAATCAATTCCACGTGATAAGTATATTTTTCCATCTCTGAAAATTTTTTTATTGGACTTCTTATAGTTCTACTATCTGGCTTTAAAATCAGATGTGTATAGTGTTAAGGATATCATATAGTTATTTAAGATTTCCTCACACGTGTTTTTTTAGTCCTTCCTATTTATTATTTTTTTTCTTTGTACTTTTATTCCACTATGAACGAAGAAATCTTAAGCAAAGTCTAATTTTCTGAATATTAGAAGAAACCTAAACGTATTGGAAGTTGGATACTTTTAGTCAATTTTTCCATACAAAGCATCCCGACATATCAAAGCAAATGATAAGTAATAAATTTGTGATAGAACTAAAAATTTTGAATAAAAATTTAAAACTGAAGTCAAAGGAGAGATGGAAAAATATCAGCAATATTAAAGGTTAGTGTTTTTACACGTTTTTAGAAATGTGAAAATGTTAACAAGTATAGTGAGCATAGTGAGCATAGTGAATGCTATGCCCTATTTTCTGCGGTTATAGGAAAGAGTATTTCAGTTACATTAGTGCTGTATCAGGCATCTCTATGGGTTCGCTATGGGTTCTTTGATTAAAGTTTGCTGATTCTGGAGAAGGAATCGGCTATATACCTTTTTTATGATGAAGGATCTTTATTCATTATGCTTTTCACATAATATTATAGGGATTCTGCAGAGGCAAGGAAAATGTGTCACTTAAAAGGAGTTTTTGTGAAAAAACAGAGCCCAGTGAATGGTTACTAAAAAAACACCGATCTCATAAAAACAAATAAAGATTGATGAGAATATACTTGAATCATTTATTAGAAATTTGAGACAGGAGCCAAAAAATGAGGTATGAGATTAAAACTTTGATTTCTTATTATTTTCTATCTTATTTCTTATTATCAAATATTATCTTTAAAAATCAGTGGATAATTCATAATATAAATGTTACAGAAATATTCTGTAAATACCAGCAAGAGGTTCTTAAAACACTTCAATCAACCGGACTAACGTGGGACAATACGTATGAAATCTTGTGAGTGTTATGAGACT